TTACTTTTTCTTGTTTCTACATTTCAGTTCTTTCCCTAGATTGTAATGAGAATGATTTGTTCACATAATTAGATGAGAAATATCATTAGAATTAAGTTTATAAGAGTACTGTGTACAAAAATCCTTGGGGTACGGTTGGGAAAATTTCCCCTTATTTTGTTATAAATTACATGTTACCTTTTTAAAAGGTTATATATGATTATAATAATTCATTGCATTGTTAATATAACTCACAGCTAATTTAGAATGAAAGAAAAAAGTAGTTGATGTCAGAAATTCGGCTTCAAATCCAACCACTACTACTGGATGACTGCATGATCACTGTGTCATCTGATCCTGTTTCAGTATTTAAACATGGGAATGATAATAAGTAACCATATGTAATAAATACCAAAGAGATTCTGGCAACATCAATTTAAATAAGGTATGAGGTATTTCCTGGGTTTGTTTCCTCGAGTTCAGAGTTTGTATCATTCACAGTGAATGCCACATTTGTGCCCATTGGCCAAGTTATTAGTTAACACCAAAGTATCAATGCACCAGTGAAAACCAATATATGACAATGTTGGGAAAGCAGACAAGTTTGGCAAATGGTAACAATAGGTGCCCTTTTCTACACCGGTTTACCAATGACCACTTCAAATTTTAAATTCCAGTCCAATGAAGAAGTAAGGACAATGGGAGAAAATGTCTATGGGGTGTTGTTTTTGAGGCCCAGGGCCCTGTGCAAGGTCCGGCTGAGGGCATTCTTCACTTCATTATTCCTCAGGCTGTAGATGATGGGATTCAACATGGGAGTCACAATAGTGTAGGACAACGATAACACTTTCTTGCTCTCAGGAGAATTACTGGATTTGGGCCGAAAATATGTGAGACTGGAGGATACATAGAAAAGGGAGACAACAAGGAGATGAGAAGAGCAGGTGGAGAAGGCCTTGTGCTTCCCTTTAGCTGATGGAATCTTGAGGATGGCAGCAGCAATGCGTGTGTAGGAGCACAAGATCAGCAAGCAGGGTATCATGACCACCAGAACCGTTCCCACAATGGCGTAGATCTCAAACAGTGCTGTGTCTGCACAGACCAGCCTCAGCACAGGGGGGCTGTCACAGAAGAAGTGGTTCACTTTGTTGGTGGCACAGAACGGGAAGCT